ACCATGCTGAAGCAGCCCTTGTTGTTACTGAGCAGGTAACATAACATACCTTTGGCCACACCAGTGCCTTGTTGATGAGGCAGGGTCATAATGCCATTTAGCAATGTGGAATTACTGAACATGCTTAGACAGATCAGGTAATTGGTGCAAATTGAAGTGGGATTAAGTGTTCAAGAGCCTTGCCTTGTTCTGTGGTTTTGTTTGTACTCTTAAATACAGAATGAAAAGGGCCATGGTTCAGCTGAGCATTGGGTTTTTACACATCTGGGTGGAGCTCTTGGCAGAACTCACTCAGTGAATTTGCTCTGCCTCAGACTAGAGCCAAAGGTTCAGGACACAAGGCAACTTTGGCTTTCCTTTACAAAAGTGCTTTTTGATGTGGCAGAGGAATACAGCTTCGGAGGAGTCAAGTGCTGAAAATGGTTCATTTCTAACTTCAGGCAATACAGTACGGGACTGAAGATAACAGCACCTCTGTCATCGTGCCATTTGGAGCCTGGGGGAAGTACAAAAACGCTGAGGTCAACTTCTCCTTCAGCCGTAGCTTTGCCTCGAGTGGGAGGTGGGCATGAGAACCCACTGAAGTTATTCTTTTCCATGCAGTGGCCCGTATGCAGCAAGATACAGGAGAACACATCCATGTCTAGGTTGTGTCTTGTCCACCTCTCTTTCCCAGAATTGTACACAACATGAGACTTACTGCTTCCAGGTTAGGAAACAAGCTCTTGTCACTTACATTTTACCACTTTTTATTTATTTTGGCCAGACTTCAGGCAGCTGTTTGTGTTTCTGCTCCTAGGAGATGTGTAGCTTGTGTCTCCCTGTTCACAAATGACTAGATGCTAGGCTTTCACATGTTAAATGCTTCCTGCCCAATGTGTGTTTGTACTGACTGCTGTATTTAGTGTCCCTGGTTATTTAGCAGCTGTAAAGGACTGGCATGATATATTCTGAGCCATGTGCTCTTCACTTTGCGCGACAGATGAGCAGATGCACAACAATTATGAGAAGATGAAAGTCTTCCATTGGTATAGAGGCACCAAAAGTTCCTCTGTGCTTCAGGAGAAGCATGTGAAAAATAGTGGCATAGCTGTGAGAAAAGAGTCAGGAAGCAGCTCTTCTGTGCCAATATGTCCCAAGCAGTAGAATAAGCTTTTCCCCAAAGTCCACATAAGTTAATTCTGGTCTGTAGAAAACTACCCCTTGACTTCCGTGCACTGTGACCTTTTGAGTCTAAATGCATGTGCAGGCCAGGAGCCAGTGATGACATGGCAACTTAGGTGTAATGTGGGACAGACCTAATGTCTGTGCCATCCCTACCATCCTCTCTACCAGTGGCATTGAAAGGAATAGGTGGCAGATCTGCAGGAGAGCAAAAACTGAACGTTTTTTCAAACCCAGAGACAACATAAGCTTGGATTCCTTTTTCCTAAAGGAAGTAATTTCAGTCTATTTCATTTTCTAATAGAGAGTAGGGTGGGGAGATTTTTCACTTTTCTGAAAGAAAATAAAGGTATGAGGGCTTTTCAGCTGTCTGGGACAGGATCTAGTCAGTTAATCCTTTCTTCTGTGCCAGCTAACTGGTCACTAGATGCTTTTAGATGCATAAAGTAGACTTTCCCCTTTTCAGTTTTTTGGAATCTTTGGATTTGCTCAGGGCCTTGTCACATGTTCACTTGCAACAGTTGGAAATCATTAGTAACCTATTAAAGTTAGTACCTGTTAAGAGCGAACCTTCACTGAAACGGAACAACTTGACAATGCCTTGAGAGCACTTAACACATGCTAAAAACTGCTTCCATTTTAACTGTACTTAGTAAGTATTAAGTTGAACATGTGACATCACTCTCAGATTCCCAAAATGAAGTGTAACTGGGGGGAGGGGGACATGTAGGGGTATGTCTTTAAGCAAAGAGTGCCCCTTTTTCTTATCCCTGTTTTTAAGATGGAAGAAGAAACTATAGGAGTCTGCAGTAGATTAGGCACAAAGGGCCAAATCTGCAGCTGGCTCAAACTTTCAAAATTCCCATTGACTTCAGTGAAACTGCACTCATGTACACCAACTGAAGATCTGGCCTAAAGTGCCCTGTTCTGGTCTCAATCAGCTTCACTGATATGCACCCCTCCCCCTTCCCACCACTGTAAAAACAGTGTAATTAAAGGCAGGCAGGGAAAAACTGGCATCTTCTCAATATGATATTTTTCATGCTATTAAATTGTTTCTGGCAAGAAAGGTTTTAAAATTGAATGGTCACCTTATACTAAGGGAGCGCATTGCTGAGTTGCCCAGTGAGACACTACAATGTGAACTGTGGGTCTCTGTCACTTTTAATTTTTCCTATGCCACACCTGATCTCACCATTCCAGATGTTTGAAGGCCTATGACCATGCTCTGGGCAGGCATACTTAGTATTGCTCTGAAAGCATCTACAACTTTGCATAGGGAGAATGCCCTGGTCTTGTCTCATTACTCAATGTATTATATGGTGTACATAATATGTATATTGGTTTTATAAGTGTGTGAAACAATACTTGTAAATATATATTGTATCCAATGCTATTTCCTATGTCACTATCACAGGTCTAGTAAAATTATAAGCCCTCTGTTTCATATATTCAAAAGGTTTGCAGTTAATCTTAATCCAAAGGAAAATGTTTGGTTTTCCAAAGTTGTGAGCCCAGTTTTGCTTCCCTGAAGCAGAAGAGACATTTTCAGTGGCTATCAGTGGAGTAGGAGCAGGGGCTCGTTTGGAACAAGCGTCTCTCTGGGTTAACTATATTTATAGTACTGTTGGGAGAAATCTCCTTATTTTGAGCCCTGAGGGTGACATCCTGACACTATTGAAGTCAATGGAAATGTTGCCATTGATTTCAGCAAGGTCAGAATTTCATCCCTGGTCTTTATTAGCACTTCTAGAAAATGGATACACTAAAATGCATAGTCTGAGAGTGAGGCTTTAGAAATGGCATGTGTGTATGAGAGAGAGACTACTAACTATAGAGCCCTACTAAAGATGTTTATTGTATGTTATGGATACATAATATGCATATAGAGAGCATCTTTATGTGTATGCCACTATCCTAAACACACAGCATATATTGATTACTGCCTTGTGAATGTGCTGATGTAGTGAGGAAGGGACTAAATGCTACAGTGGGCAGTTCTGTTAGCTTTGTTCCCCAAAGCAAATATGGCTTTGGTGAGAATCTGCTTAATCTCTAGTGAATATTTGACCACATGCCAAAACCCTCCTTGTACTGGGCAGTGGTTTTGGCATCAAGTGATAGACTCTCACTAGCAGAAGTCTAGCGCAAAATTTGTGGACAAAGCGCATTGACACTTTGTCCTTCATTTTTATCCTCTGGCCCGTTAGCCATAAATCTGGTCTGAAGATATCACAAAGACTTAGGAATTTAGTGGTGCACACCCATTTATTTTTATATATTAAATCTTTTTTGTAAGTGTTTAAAGTTTGAATAGTATTAGACATTTTTCAGACTGAGCCCATCCTATTAAATCGCTGGTGGGTAGTGAGAAATTCTGCACTTCAAGTGCTGGAATAAAAAAGCATGGTAACTCAAAGAGTATCTTGGGGATGGGTTTAAGTTTGCCCTCTGGAATGCAAGTTTGTGGTCTAATTGTGTTCCCTACATTTTACTACATCTCTTTCCCATGTCCTATCACTGAATATTGTAGAGAATTAGATATTTTTGCATTTCTGTTGGTTGGTGCTCCTCTGAGACCAATAATTTGTGGGTTTTTTCTTACGTTAGAAAGGAGATAGAAAAGAAGGGAAATGATGAAACTGCAGAACAGTACGAGTTGAAGATAAAGGGCTCCCATTGACCATTTCTTACAGAGCAACAAAGGAACATTTAATGCCATAGAAGGGCAGCAAATTTAAAACTAATAGAAGGAAATATTTGTTAAAACAAATACACAGTTTGTCTGTGGAACTCCTTAGATGTATTTGAAGACAAAGGCTTAATAGGATTTCAAAAGGGTTAGGCACATTATAGATAGAAATTTCACAGTTGTATTAGCTGGGGGTGTATTTATACAATATATACAGATCTACATATGTATAATAAGGAATATCAGCACTCAGGACTTTGAAGCACAAGTCAATTACTGACTGACAGGTGTTAGGAAGAAACTTTTTCTGTGGTCAGGTAATTGCATAACTGCCCACCATGGAGTTTTTGCCACCGTCTTCTGAAGCATAGAGTTACTGTTGGTACAAAATACTGGACTGAAATGTCCTATGGGTCTGAATTGGTATGGGAATTACTACGTCCTCATTTAAGAACAGAGTTCTGGAGATATCATGCTGCATTGTAGCCTTCCTTCATGCACCTAATGTAAGCAGTTTACTCAAGTCAGACCGCAGCTTACAAAGCACTTGATTAAAAGTGCATGGCATTTTTTTTTGTGGTCACTCATCTTCTTCTTATGCTTCTTCCTCAGGTATTCATAGCTATTGCCCCTCTTTTGCACCACACTCATGCTTTTCCCCTATCACACTCTGGCCTGATGGAATTAAAGCATTTATGCCAAGGCTTCCTTTTCTCAAATGGGTCAAACCAGACTGGTGCTACTAGGGTGTTGGCTTTGTATTTTGTCATTTGGAACTAGCTGCCAAATCAGCAGAATAATTTTATTCTTATGCCTTTCCAGTTTTGGGGCTGTTCAGAATCCAAACACTCCAACCCAGTAAACGCATTGTAATTGTGGCAAATGTTTGTTTATTAAGTATCTTGCTGGGGGCGTGGAAAATGAAGCCGTTACATTACAGCCATGTTGGAGGGGTGAACACAGTGTCTTCCGACTACATGTAGGGATCAGTTTAGCAGCTCCCTTCCAGCTTTCAGCTACCTAAGCAGCTTACATGGAACATCAAGGTTTTCAAGTCAGAATCCACATCTTTGACTTTAAAGCAGCTTTGTTTAAGGGAGGGGGAAAAAAAGCAAATTCTAACAAGTTTATCAGCTTCTGAACAGAAAATCCTGTTTTAAGCCCTGAGGGACCAGAAAAACTCAATTGCCTGTTTGAGGGGATCTTTTAAAACTTAGGATTGAATTTGATCTGAAAACTGTGAAGATTAAAGAGGTCTGTTATGGTGGCAGTTGTTTACTTATAGCACAGTATTTATTATATGTACTGGAATTTATTCTGAACTTCTTATAAGTAAAATCTGCTTTATTTTCCCCTTAGTATGTATCTGTTTATACCAATGGGTAGGACACTATCCTTGTATTACAAACCAAACTGTATTTTCAAAGTGACCTGCCTGCCCAAAAACTCTTTAGTTCTTTACTGCTTTTTCACAGCTAGATTCTGTTACCCTTTTTCCATGGTAAATAGTTCTTCCTTTGTGGGAAGTCCCACTGAAAGCCATAGGTCTGCACATTGGAGTGAGGTGTTCCTCAGTGTGAATAAGAATATCCTAAGATGGATGGCCCTTAAGATTCAGAAAGGCTGCTTCAGGGTTTTTAAAATTACTTGCCAGTTGATTTATTGATACCAGCAAAATAAGGGGGGAACAATTTGCCTCACTTCCCTCCTATTGCTAGAAGACCTGAGAAGTGAAGATACAGAAAACTGTAACATAAGCTATGGCTCCCTTTCTCCCATAGCTGAGGTACAAGAGGCTGAGTTCTGGATAGGGACCTGCATGGATTCCCTATCAATTGCAGTCTCTAAATATAGAGGGGATGTGTCTTTCTAAAACATATGCTATAACTCCAACAAATTGTGGGCTTAACATGAACATTTTCAGGTAAGGTTCTGGGGCCTGCACTATGCAAGAGGCCAAGATGGATTATCACAACAGTCCCTTCTGGCCTGAAAAAAATCTATGGATGTGTGAACAGACATGCATGATATGACTGACAACAGCAGAGCAAAACAAATAATTATATAAAAAAAGAAACTACTGCTTATTACATTTTTGGAGTAAATGAACAATGGGAAGAAAGCCTGGTCCTACTGAAGAACTCCCACATATTTCATTGGGAGTCAGGATAATCTTTGTGTTCCTAGATGGAAGTGCTATATTTAAAGGCTTTTGAACATTTCCAGTTAATAGAGAACCAGCAAACAATCGATAGCAACAAAATGGAATCACCAAAATAATTTCCTTTTTATAAACTCACTTTGGCACTCTTAGAGTGATAGGTCATTTGTCCAGCTAGGTGAATGTACTGTAATATAGACAACTTTTCGTGTTCCTTGGGTCTGAAGCTGCTGTACCTCAAAACTGAGGTAGCTCAAGCTATCCTCTTTTATCCAGTGTATTCAGTGCTTACAGTTTTGCATGTCATAAGTTTATACATAACAGAAGTGCAATTGTGTATATTTGTTACATGGTTTGCCTTAGGACCTATGGTTTAATGTTTCATATTTGGTGCAATCAATGTCCACAATTCATTTACTACTTGATTTGAAATGAGTGTACTGGGGTTTTTTTTTTTAATGTTTGTCTTTATTGAAGTACCTATACAATGTGAGCAGGCTAAAGACTGTACTGGAATGCTTAAAAGATCTTTAATAAAGTTTTAGCTTCAATAGCTGTCTGGGTTTGTTTGTTTTTCCCCCTTCTAATATCTCACATGAACCAGTGGAATTATTCACAGCTTAACCAGCTTCATGACCCTAATGTCAGTCACCCAGCAGTTTTCAGTGCATGGGTTTTTCCATGTGTAGACTAATTCTGCAATGGATAGTGCAGAGATGGGTTTGTACCCACCCACCACTGCACACAAGTCATTGAGTGCAGCAGCCTGCTAACTTGCTCTTCATTGCTTAATTGGGGCCATATGTTGGTTCTTGGATGGTTTATATGAATTTCTCAATCTGTTACTCATTTTAGTATTGTCTTATTTTACATTCTGATGTCTTGCAAAAGCAGTAAATGGGGAAGGGAGAGGTAAAGGAAAACTAAAAATTCCCTCTTTTTCCTGCAAGACTTTCTGCATTGAAAAGAAACTGACTTCATCTGGAGATCTGAAGCAGCCTGGAGTACTTAAGTGTCTGGTTTCAGACACTTTTTTAGATTCAAAGCTTTCTAGCAACAAAATATATTACAGTTCAGGACTGTAATTCCTATGCAGAGTTCAATATCTGCTGCCTTCATAATTTTTGTTTAATTTTGACTTGCAGAGACTCATCTGCCTGGACTGAAGCCTCTTTTCTCCAACCCCCAAGGAAGAAAAGCCTTAACTTCTGTAGAGCTCTGACAGTTTATTCCAATTGTGCAAATTCCCCTCCATGTCAAGCGTAACCTCAGCTTAATTTTACCACTTGTTTATTACTAGCTTAACTTTAAAAAGCTGAACTGCTCGGGAACTGCATGGTCCTTAACTGTTATGTGCTGAGGGGGCTAAATAGTATCATCTCCAATCAGTTTGGTGCATTCTTCAGACCAGGCTAGATTTTTCTTCACTGGCCTCCACTTGCACTTTCACAGTAGTTAGGAAATGGCTGCTAAGTTATTCTGTAATCAGAGCATTTGTCCTTTAATGAATATCACTCTGATCCACTGGTTTCTTTATGCCCCCAGGAAGAAAAGAGAGTGGCTGCGTTCCAACACCAATGAGTTATTTCCCTAGTTGGTTCAATTGCTTGCATGAGTCTTGGTAAAAGTTCATTAGAAGGATTTTGGGATAGAAGCCAAGGTAAAAAAATTCCTGGCTCTAATGTTGCATACAAGAAGTTGTGTCCCTTATAAGGGATTGTATCCTTTTCCAAACAGCCTGTGTAACAGGGCTACCCTGCACCACAGTGGAAAGAGACCCTCATCTTGCGTGTAGGGCAGTATGCCAAAGGTTTTGCTGGGCAGGTGGTGCATGGGACTGGCTAAAAATAAAGTTCCTCACTGCAACTGAACAGAAGCACACATACATAGAGGTGCAAATATGGGCATGTATTGCCATGCCATAACATGGTTACAAATTTAGAATCAACACATATGTGAGAACACCTGCCACTCCCCTGATCTTATTTCCTGGTGATGGGCTGAGGAAAGGGTTCAGTCTCAGCTTTCTGAACCTTTCTGTAGCTTCCCCTAAAAAAACAGTTACTCTTGGGAGTGTTAGCATGGTGCCTCCTTTGGGGAAACACATTTAAGAGGAATTATCTCTACCCCCTTGAATTAAAATGTTGTTCCTGAGAGGGTGGATCATGTGCAATTCATGTGCCAGAATTTTCTGCACCAAAAGTTCAGACTCTTTAAAGCACTCCTTGGTGCACATCTATGTATGCACCCTGGTCAGGAGCAAACCGAGCCTGACAGCAGCCCAGTCCAAGGCTGCTCCTGCCAGGCTCTGCCCCCCTGCAGCAGCCCAGGGGAGCTCCAGGCTCCCCAGGTCCCAGCCCCAGGCTGGTAGGGGGCATAGGGGATAAGCCCTGAGTTCTAGAGCAGGGGCAGGCAAAATGCAGCCCGGGGGCCAGATGTGGCCTGCCAGGCCATTCTATCTGGCCTGTGGGCCCCCTAAAAAAATTAGAAAATTAGTATTTATCTACCCCTGGCTGCCTATCATGTGGCCCTCGATGGCTTGCCAAAACTCAGTAAGCGGGCCTCACTAATTCCATGGAGTACATATGGGCCAAGTGAGCAGTAATCCTGTTCCTACACTCCAAATGATTTGCAAAGCCATTAGTTCTTGGAGAACAGCCACTCTCTGTCCTCATTATCTGAGCTCCCTCACATCCTCCATTTTACTTAGATTGGGCATATCTACACATGCATTTACTCTGGGCTAAATTTACTTTGTAGTAAATTGCTCTGGAGTAAGCACTTTCAGACCAGTGTCTACACATACGAGGATTAGGAAGAAGATTTGCTGCTCTTTGCACCTGGTTTTCCTGCAGTCCTGCAATGGACCTATGCTGCCACTCGGGGGAGCTTGGAGGGAGCACAGGGCCAGGAGACCGCTTTTGGGGCAGGGGTAATGTTCTGCTGCTGGGATGAGGACAATGTTCCCTACCCAGCTATGTGATTACAGAGCTGGGCGTGGGGAACCGACTGGGGAGCTTGTTTCCCACCCAGCTCTGTGATTGTGGAGCTGAGTGGGGAACAAGTTTCCCAGCCTGTTTCCCCCCCTTCCCAGCTCCGTGCTTGTAAAGGTGGACAGGGAACAGGCTCCCCTGCACCTGGCAGCAGGGAGCTCCCAGTGCCAGCTCCGCAACCATGGGGCCGATGTTGGGAGATCCTTATCTCGCAGCCAGAGCTCCGTGGTCATGGGGCTTGCTCTGGGAGACCCTTATCTCCCAGCTTGAGCTCTACAGTCGTGGAGCCAGCACTGGAAATAAGGGTCTTCTAAACCGAGCCCTGCGACCACCCTCCAGCTGGGAGATAAGGATTTCAATCTCAGAGCAGGGGCCTTGGAGCTCCCTGCTCCTGGGGTAGGGGGGCATAGTCCCTGCCTGGCCTCGTGTGGTGGAGCCCACTCCAGCAGCAGGCAGCTTCTGGGGGCAGGGAGTTATCTCCCATCCCCTGGTGGACGGCTGACCAAGAACAGATTTTGCTCTCCGTCAGGCATCTATACAAGCGCTACTGCACTGTTACTAATCTTGAGTAAATTAGCGACTTGCATTTGCAGGTAGCAAATTTAATCAGTATTAGGGAGATTTACTGTGTAGTAAGCATATGCACGTGGAGATGCACATGCTTACTTTGAAGTAAACTATGCTGATGCTAAATTAAGTATCTCATGTAGATGCACCCAGTGGGTTGTTATGTTACCATGGTTTAGCACTCATTTACTGTGGTTGGGGAGTGAAGACAAACAATTACAACAGATCAGCTGATGCACAGTAAAACTCTGTCTCCTTTCAATATGCTATAATTTTGTCGGTCTGCCCGTCTGTCCATACCCTCATTATTTTCATCTGTTAAAGAGTACTTTGTCCCACCCTTTGTTGTATTGCCAATTTAGATTCTAAACTCCTCAGGACAGGTGCCATCTCTCACTATGAATTTTATGTAGTGCCTAGCACAATGATTTTGGTGAGGGTCTATAGACACTACTGTAATAATAAACGTAAGTAAATTGCTATCACCAGAACACTGAGTTGAGATGTGACATTAAAAATCCCAAGGGTTCAATAATTTGTCTGTTCCTGCATAACAGGATTGGTTTTGATACCACACATTGTTAGCACCAAAAATGAATTGGCAGTTTATAGCAACATCAGCTAAGACATATTCATCCTTCAGAACTTCTGTTCTCTACATATCAATTATTATTAATACTATTTTTAACAGAAACACATTATGCAGATCATTTTGATCCTATAAGATATCTACAAACTCCACCCCTCTGAGTTCTCAAATCCAGACTTCAACCACTTATTTCAAAGATGTAGATTCTGATGCAACCACTAAGGTATAGCTGTATCATCCCAGTATAGCACAAGACAGTGCATCTCACTGTGGTACCCGCTACTGCTGTACTGGGACGGTGTAAACCTGCTCAGGAAAATATGGACATTATAGTCAGATCCAATATGAAGCTAAATGGGATTCAGCTTTATATAGTTCACAAAAGATCTAAAGTGATTTTGGTTCCTGTGCCTGAATGATGTTAAGAACATATGTTTTGTTATAAATACATGGCCAGAGCCCTGGGTATATACATGGAATGTGAAACCTGTGTGGTACAACCACATTTTCAGAAGCGCTCAGTGCCCAGTGCAGGTCATCATGCTGTGCTCTGGCTACTTACTGGTGTGTCTAAGTGGAAGCTAAGCCCCTTCTCAAAACTGGCTATCAAAACTGGGGAAGGCTGAAGGAAAGTACTGCTGACAAAAATCAGGCTATAGGACAGCCACAAGTTAAAAGCTCATCTAGTTGCAGTGAGGCTGAAAAGCCATTTAATAAAGTCATTGTTACGTTCCAGGTCTCAGGATGCATGGGCACCAGAGTAACAGAAGCCAATGCCTGATCTGTGGCAGGGACTCTAAATATAATTATCTTAATGTCAACACCATAACCTTAGATTTATGTGGGTGAGGCTGCTCCTTTCCAATCAAAAGCCTTGCTGGAAGCCCTGCCTTCATCTGTCCCTACTTTGCCTCCCATAAGCTATTTGTGATAAACAGCTCACTCGTCTCTGGAGTTTGTATATAATTTAGCATGGCCCCAAGGAAGGCAGTGTTTTTATTTTGTGATTTAGCTGACTATGGATCTATTTGCTAGTCTACAGGTAAGCCATTTGGCTTTTGACTCCCAAGTGAGTTCTGCAAAAACAGAGTGACTTCATACCAGAGTGCAGTGAGGTTTTGTCAACAGATACTGAGCTGAACGTTCAGAATGGCCACAGGCATCCTCAGGTGAGTGCAGGAGAGATGTATGCACAGGAATAGATTTGGGCTTGCACTGTGGTCCTGTTGGGATAGATGGGTCAAGAAGCCAGTATCTTCCTACTAAGGAGCCTTGCTGGCCCCTTGTACACACCTCTTCTGTAATGCCAAACAATTCTGTCACACAGTATAAATTAGAGCAGCTCCTGACTTCTAGTTCCCAGATAACTCCAGAATTCAGGCTGTAGTCACTCTT